CGACACCAAGCACCCCTCCCTCACGCCCTCCTCAGGCGTGCCTGCCACCCCTGCCACGGCCCTGTCCGCGGTGATCAAAGCCGGTGGAGACTACTATCCCGGGCAGGTCGACTACGGTTCCTCCTCCATCGACGTCTACGAAACCCTGAAGCAGACGGGGAAGTTCAACCAGCTTGCCAAGGCCTTGGAAGCGACCGGGTTGGATAAGGCCCTGGCGCAGGAGAACGGCATTTTTTGCCTGTACGCGCCCACGGACGAGGCCTTCGAGAAGGCGGGCGGCGTGGACAAGCTTTTGGAGGACAAAGCGGGGCTGGAGGAGGTGTTGAAGTACCACGTGGTGAAGCTCTTCGTCAAGGACAAGGAGCACATCCGCTCGTTCCGCCTCTCCAACAAGGTAGGCAGGACCGGCGAGTCGAACAGCGAGAGAGGCAAAGGAGGTGGTGTGGATCGTCCAAGATGCGTCTAGGCACTTGGAGGAATCCTTCCTCACACAGCGCCTGCCCCGCTGGGCTACCCCCCCGGTCCCGCATCCTCTTCCTTCCCATTCTAACGTCCCAACCCCTATGTCCCTCCCTCCCTCCCTCCCTCTCTCCAGGCGACCCTGCAGGGTGGCAAGGTCCGGGTCCAGGTCAAGGCCAACCCAGATGGGGAATCCTTCGTCATCTTCAACAACGGCGAAGCCCAGTGCGTGGACGGCCTCTCCGATATTGACGCGGTCAACGGCCACATTCATGGCATCTCTGGTATCCTGGTGAGTTATTGGAGGAGGAAAGTTTTCAAGACGGATATGGCTGTGTACCAAGAGCTTTTTGGTAGGGGGAGGTCTGAGGCGAGGAGGAGGGGCTGGAGGAGGATGCGTCCGTCCGGGATCTCCATGGCTTCCGTGGCAGAGCCTTGGAACCGGTGATGGCAGATCTGCGTTGGTCTCTTACTTTCACGCGGTGGCAGGCATTCATGCTTTCCGTACCTTCTCTCTGCCTGCTTATTCCGCTTCTTTTCGTCACCACCCCCAGACCCCCCAGGCCGGCGGCTCCATTCCCGTGAAATAACCGACGGGACTGGCACCGCCATCAGTTCTCTCCGTACCTTCGGTGAAGCCTGATGGCTGGTCGGTGTCTGTCGATGTGGGCCCTCTGTCTAGCTATTGTTGTGTCGACTTGAGGCTAGCAGAGGCGCCTTTGCATGTATCAATCCTGCTTTATCTCCTTCGCGCGTCGTCGCTCATTCCAGTTCTATGGAAGTGGTGTTGTGTCCGTGTCCACGTGCGGGATTATATTCCAGCGCCCTCTTTGCGTCGTTTCCTGTTTTTATACTGTGTGAGTGGGCGCCCGTAGTCTCAATTCTTTCGCCTCGGAGGAAAGAAAAAGCAGACGAGAAATGGATCGGTTGGGACCTGCCAAGTGGTGCGGACGCCAAAGCATCTTAGTTACATATAAGGAACAAAAAAGAAAAGGGGCTGATAAAAAAAGTGGCAAAGATGACGTACGGGTGCGGTGTCATTTTGCTTTTGCTTGGGGGGGCAGGTTTTTTATCCGTACACTTTCGTCTAAAAGGCTGCAGAGCCTTAAATGAGACGATTTGTTATTAAAGAATAGGGCGCTTGATCCATATCATTTCGAACTCCACTGTCCGATGCATTGTCAGGGCAAGTCTTTGGAACATGAAGGGAAGGGGGAGGAGGTTATTCTGGACGTATTTTGTCGAAGCGAAACGCTCTTAGAGAGTACTCGTGATGTTTGAAATACTTTGTGGATGACAAATGTAGGGATAATATAATCCCGCTGCTTATATGAGACAAAGACGGGTATGTGTGAAGCCTGCAGCTTCCCGGTGGACCTGCGGCTGTAAACTCAAGGAGGCACTGATTCTCCCCTTGAGGCGCCGTCTGTCCTGACCCACTTCGTACGCCCATTTACTACCCATCTTACTACTACTTTACTTACATCTTTCTTCTCCATTTTCTCCTTATGATTCTCTCACAGGGCCTGTGCTCTCCCCTTTCGACCTAGCATGGCCGGGCTCCCTACCTCCACCGCCCGGGCACCTCAACAACGGCAGCCCAAAAGGGGACTGCAGGGTCCTGAGACAGAGTTGATAGATGCCAAGCTTTTGGAAATGCAATTTAAACTTCTGTCCACGAACGAGGTGAGACAAAAGCGAGGAGACCCGCAGGGAATCATCAGCTTCTGATTTCTTTCGATTCGTTCCCCACAGCCCGTGACGGAGGTAGAGCTGTACGCATGCCAACCCTGGTTCCTCCCCGAGCATTTCGCCGGAGTGGTCGAAGAACTGGCAGCGGAGGGACATTGCGGGCATCCTGTGTGCAAAAAAACTTTGAACGCGACCCAGGGAGGCTCTGGCGCTAGTGGTGTCAAAGTCGGACAAAAACGGGTGGATATGAAGGCAAAAAAAGTGGTGGATATCACTCAGGTGCATGCCATGTTTTGCAGTGATGTGTGCGAGGGGGCGGCACGCTCCTTTCTGGCCCAATTGTCCACGGAGGGCATTTGTTTCCGTCCGGTTGCGCGTGCTTATCTGGCACAGAAGCGGGCACAGGCCGCGGGGCAAGAACTCGTCACGCCGTCCCCGTCCTACGTGTACGACCTCGTGGCCAAGAGGCATGAGGCACGAGGGAATCCGGTGGATAAAAATGGAATGGACCGGAAAGCAAACAAGGCCATGGCATGCGAGGAAAAGAACGAGGAAGGCCCTGGACCTCCAGGCGTGCCCGTCCCACCTCCAGGTCAGCCTCGAGGCCCCCCTGGACTAGGCACAGGCCACGAAGGCTGTGACAGTGAGAAGATGGAGTTGGGAGGGAAGGAAGGTCGGGGCCCCTTGAAGATGAAGGTGCTAGAGCGAGAGCGACCGGTGGCGCCCCGTCCCTTAAG